CAGTGCATGAATTTTGTGCACTGGGCCTCTAGTCTACATATAACCTACTTGGTTATACTTTGAAAACTAAGTTTCTATAAAAACATTTCATAAAAAATATCTTCAATGACCACATTAAGTAAAGAATCAAGAAAAGGCAACCCAAATAACACAATACTCATCCTCTTCCATCAGCCACAAAATTAATATTATAGAACACAATTATTTTTCAAATAAAAAAAACATGCATTCATTGTGGTCTAAAGATAAATTTCATTTTATATTTTTAAAAGTTATTTATTTTTTATTTTCTAAACATATTTTTATTGATTGTTTTTTAGAAAAAGGGAGAAAGGGGGATAGAGTGATACAAATTTCAGTAAGAGAGAAACGTCAATCAACTGCCTCCTGCACATCCTTCACTGGGGATCAAGCCCACAACCAAGGTATAAGCCCCCTTGACAGAAATTGAATCTGGTACCCTTGAGTCGAAGGGCCGATGCTCTATCCACTGAGACAAACAGGTTAGGGCTGAATTTTATTTTAAATGGTATCAAAGGAATTTGAGAGAGGACTAAAAGATAAAATAAAATAATATTTAAAAAACCTCACAATTTTTTTAGGATTAAGATATTTTGCAAGTACATACTCCTAAGAGAAAAACTTTATTCCTATTTCAAAAACAAAAAGCAGGGTATGTTTTTCCTTACTGACACTCTTCTCAAAGAATGAAATATGTAGTTTTTAAGATTTTACCAGATATTCAAAAAGAGAATGAAAAAAATTAAAGCGAGATTATGGAACAAAGTATCACAATCGCTCATAGATACCCAAGTAGCAAAGCAAAAGCACACATTCTAAACTGACCGAGGGCATACAAATACAAATATACATAGCTAAAGATTATATTGAGGAAAAAAGGTAAGATTTTCTATTTCTAATTATGATTTTGTTCAGTCACCTGACCCTGCCTGTGTAGACCATACTAATAAAATTACTGGTACTTAGAGAAGTTCTTCATAATTTAAGTTTTTGACACAATAAATTCCATATCAATAATAAAAATTTACATAGCACTAGTAAGGACATTGAATGTTTTTTTAAAAAAGTGTGAATAAAAACCTCTTGACAAAGCTGCTGATATAATGCATGGAGTAAATGGTGCTGAGACAACTGAAAATCCCTATTTAAAAGAATGAAGAGCCCTAACCAGGTTGGCTCAGTGGATAGAGAGTCGGCCTGCAGTCTCAAGGGTCCCAGGTTCAATTCCGGTCAAGGGCATGTACCTTGGTTGTGGGCATATACCCAGTAGGGAGTGTGCAGGAGGCAGCTGATTGATTGTTCTCTCTCATCGATGCTTCTAACTCTCTATCCCTCTCCCTTCCTCTCTGTAAAAAAATCAATACAATATATATTTTTTTTTAAAAAAAGAAAAGAATGAAGAATAATCATGGCTGCAGAATAGGTGGAACCTCCCACTCCTTGCTCCCAAGACCAGAGGTATTTGTGACTGAACTGCCGGACATCAGGCATGAAAAACTTGTTGAAGTGAAGCTGACCTGAAATACTGTGAACAGAGAACACAGAAAAAAAGAAAGGAGAGGCAGAGAGGGTGGGTCAACTAGGCAGAGCACAGCTAGTAAGCGGGAGAGACATTGTGGCAACAATGCCCCCACACCCCTGAGAGTAGAGTACAGAATCTAAGCCCATGCAAGTATCCCCAACTCAGAAAACAGAGAAGGGGATGGGAATTCATGTAGCACTGGGCGGGAAGCAGTAGAGATAAAGTCCACCTTGGAAGCTCAAACTGCAAAAGCCCAAGCAAAGAGCAATTTCTTTGTTACAGCACCAAGGACAACTGACCTAATCTAGGACTTGGGGGAATGGCCAAACAGCAAAGCTCCACACTGCAGAGCTTGGTGTGAAGGGAGCTAACAGGTACAACCAACAGTGACTCAGAGATAGCTTCTAGCCCCTGGTAGAACACTGGGCAGAAAGCAAGATAGCTGGGGGGAGGCTAGTCTGTGTGCCTAGGAGGAAAAAGAGACCAGACTTTCCTACCTCACTTCCATAAATGCACTAAAGGCACCCTGGCCCAACCTGAAAAATCTGTCACATCTACCCTGTTCTGCTGTTGATCCCAATGAAAGGCAAATGTCCTGGGGCTACAAATCTGTACCAGTAAGGCTCAATATGCAGGTTCAGGAACACAACTGACCAGCAAAAACCCTGTCCAAGGACAGAGGCCTATGCAAAAAATTCAAGTGCCAAGAGGGTCTGATTTTTATATTTGCTTTCGTTTGTTTAAATATGTTTTTTATTGATTTCAGAGAGGGAAAGAGAGAATTAGAAACATCCATTATGAGAGAAAATCATTGATTGGCTGCCTCCCTGCATGCCCCCTACTGGGGATGGAGCTGGCAATTCAGACATGTGCCCTTGACTGCAATCAAATTCTTTAGTCCAGAGGTCAATGCTCTGTCCTCTGAGCCAAACCATCTAGGGCTGTTTTGTTTTTTTTGATCCCCTCCTATTCTGAGTGGCAGCAATGGACTGCCAGGAAACCAGAAATGAGGTGTTTCAACAGTGTCTCCCTGGTGGTTTTCTGTCTGGGTGGGTGTGCTTGAGCCCTTCCACAGCTCTGCAGGGAAGCCGATCCAGCTCCCCAGTGAGTACAGCCTGTCAGCCCAGTCCTGCCTAAATGATGAAGTGCCCATCCCCTCTCCCACAGTTTACAAGCATTACCTTCAACACCTTAAACCATACCCTGACAGGTACCAGAAACCCTCACAGAGTGAAGATTCATGGGAGATGGGAGAGCAACTCAGAGCAGGGACATTCAAAGGGTGAGATCCAAGAAAGACACAGTCTCTGGGCTTCAGAGGACCCACCAACTGTACTGTTTGGGACTATGCTCTGACAAGTGTTAGGCTGCCTGGCTTTAGCAACTGACATTGATAACACCAGAGAATCAACTTGGAGGCTTGTGACCAGCACATCAACAGGCCAGTCTTGGACAACATCTGAGCAACATCCAACAAGC